ATATTGATTTGTAAATTTTAATAGAAGGTGACTGGCGTGAGGGGCAAAGTAGGAGACCTAACTAAAAGTATTTGGAGTTCGAGGTAAGTTTCACGTCAACCGAAATTAGTTCTTTTTACTTCGTGATTTCTTTGAATATTTTTGTGTGCATATTTGAGAATTGAATTTATGTGTGCTGAATTTGATTGAATATTATGATATGAAAGGGTTGTATTTGGGATATTAGTTGATATATTGGTTTGTTAATATGAGTTATTGTATACAATTTTGGGAGATTTTGTAATAGTACGTAATTTGTTATCTTGGTGGGAGTTTGATAAAAAGGACATTTTTGAAGTATAAACTTCGATTGATTTTGAGGAAGCAAAGAAAAATAAATATTTTCATAAAGAGTGGGCATCACGGGAGAAATCCGTGGTGTCGGTTTTCCACGTCCCTTAAAATGTGGAGGGTGGTTAGGTCTACTACTACTCAATTCTTGTTGGTATTGGTTTGAGGTGGATTGATGGTCGGTAGAAAACATCCCGGCTTTTGAGTAGTAATGGTAGTAGTAGCTCCTAATCATTCAGTTTTTGAGGTGGGGTAGTTGGTAGAAAACATCTCGGCTACCCGGATCAACTTACTAACCCGGAGGGCTTGGAATACCTTTAGGGGGTGTGCACACTTAAGGTAGTTGTTCCGTTTCCATTGAACAGTTGTGGTACCGGCAATAGTCCCGGGGTGGCCGTACATAACAACGGACCACCGGGCTCAACCAAAGTATTGAGCACCGCCCTTCTAAAGTACTAGGGAGTTAGTTACAAAGTGATTTTTGGGAGAAATTCAAAAGAGGAGAATCTTGGTGCTTCATGTATTTTGGAATTATTATGATATTTACAAATTGTGTGGTTGGGATTTTGTATAGATACCATTTACTTACAATTTATAAAGTGATTTGAAAAATATTTTGTGAGGTTGTACGAATTATATATATATATATATATATATATATATATATATATATATATATATATATATATATTAATTATTATTATTTTAAAAGGTTAGGTGGAACTTACTTAGCATTATTGCTAATGTTTGTTTTCTTTTTATTTTCTTTTGCTCATTCTAACAGGAGGTGATCATGTTGATTTTGATGCTGGAATGTTTGAGAGCGCGAATTAGAAGACCTTATCGTAGTTCACTAGTATAAACTTTAATATTTGCTTATGATTCGAACATCTTGATTTTTATCTAAACTCATGTTTTGGTAGATAGCCTTAACATCCAACCATTCACGGATTGGATGTGGCGGTGACATACCCCCTTTCCTTTATTTTACTTATTTCCGCTGCAAACATTTGAATGTTTAATTAATAAATAAAAGTTCATTTTATCTCAAAGTATTATTTTTGGGTAGAAAATTTGGGGGTGTCACACTCATCAAGTTCTCTGGTAATCTCTGGTCATCTCTTGAGCCTGAGGAGTGGGATACACACATATTAGAATGCATGTCTAACCGATATGTATATGATGCAAGGAATCATTACAATGCAAGAAACCTAACATTAATGGATGCATCTTACAACTGTTACAAGTTTAAGCATGGATAGTAGTAAGACATTATCAAACCACCTGAATGATAAGACCATTATGTACATTCACCATCACTTATTAATTAACTCCAGCTTTTTTAGCAGCAATGTTACTCCTCATATATTACAATGAACACCTGCAATTTCAGGATTATTAACATAATAGCAATATACTACATGATCACCTATTTAACTATTACTCTTCATTAGTCTATTTCATTGCTCTTTTTAGCATGCATCACAAGCATCAATGGTTCAAGGTACCTGATAATATTGACGGAAACTAGCAAGGTCAAAAAGTGCCTGCTTTGATGAAAGATATTTCAGGTTCTCTGTTTTCAATGATTCAAATGGATAAACCTTTCCATAATATCAATGTTCCAGGAATCCAGGGAATCAACAACAGCTTCAAACTTCTTAGGCCAGAACCTGTATGGGCAGTATGGCATTGCATAATTCAGAAACTAACCCTAACTACTGAAACTACAAATCATAATAATGAATAGGGAAAAACATCTAATAATACTGAACGGTTAACCAAACTAATCTGCATGTGCATGGGATGAAATCAACCTTTCCAATGCCATGACGGAGATTGTTTACATGATAGTTGAATGGTATACTGCAAATGAAAGACATAAACAGTTTGAACCTCAAAGAATACCAAATTTTCAATGGAGTGAAAATGTTTATAAAAAATAATGGTGTATGGGATGAAATCAACCTTTCCAATGCCATGACTGAGATAGTTTAAATGATAGTTGAATGGCATACTGCATATTAAGGACAAAAACAGTTTGTACCTCAAAGAAAACCAAATTTTCATTGGAGTGAAAACGTTTATAAAAAATAATGGTGCAAATGCCTACCAAAGTGACAACTTTTATAGCATTCCTGAAAGCATTACCATGCCACTAGACTTGCCATGAACTGGGTAACCATCTACCTCCAGTGACTCCACCTCACCGTATATCCGAAACTTGGTCATACGACAACAAAGTCTGAAAAAATCAGTAGGGAGAAACGTTTGAGAGAATAAAAGGAGTCTATTGTATAAAAGAAAGTAGTTAATCTACATTTAAACTTACTCATACAGCAGCAAAGTCTATAAAATGATTCTACTTACAAGTGGAGGCTGTTAGAGACCTAGACGTATGAGCTTATGGCGTGAGATATAATAGAAATAATACTAAATATTTTAATAAAATGTAATAGTGGGCTGGGGCAAGTAATTAGATATGTTAAGGGAAGCCTCATTGGAAAAGAATAAATAGAAGAGGGAGAGGGGAGGCTGGAATTCAGGAGAATCGGGCTGGGAGAGAGGGACCTCTCAAAGTGTCCCAACCTGTTTCTTCTCTTTCTTTCCTTGTACGCCATATACTACTGATTTATGTTGCTTTGGTTGAGTTCCTAACAGAGGCACCACTGCACTAAAAGTCTATATTTAGTAGAAACAGTATAATTTAAATGTAAGATGACCTATGATGATATCATGGTATTCATATGACAATGGAAGGTTGGTGTCATTTTCCCAATGTTTAAACAAATAATAATTGCAATACGGTGAGGCTGCTAAAGTAGCAAGATTGGCATTGCCAAGCTGAATCTTTAACACATGGGTGAGCAATGAAACAGTGCGCATGTGGAATACTCAAAATCAAAGCACAAATTAGCAAGAGTAAACATTTGCACTGTTTCGACACTGTTTCGACACTGTTTGGCACTGTTTCGACACTGTTTGGCACTGTTTTGCACTGTTTGACACTGTTTTGCACTTTTTGATATAGATAATTTGCCAAAAAGGAAATGAGAAGTTTATTTTGAGACATCAAAATAAGGAAAGTGTGAACTTGTTTCCGGGACGGAGGGAGTAACTTATTAATTTTTAGTGATTGAGGTTATGTTTAAATTAAATTGTACCAAAGTAACTGTAAAATTAAAGTCTACACATAGTGAATTTAGTTACATTTTTGTCCACTATATATTTTGAGAGGTTTTCCATATAGTCAGAAAGATACAAATAAAATGTAATCTACCTATTACATTTATGTATAAGAAAACAATGGGCTCATTAAAATACAATTTACCCTCTACAAATCATATGCGACCTTCCCTCCACAACTTTCTCCTTTATTATATAGATGCCACATGTCAAATTCTAGGATTTTGTACTTGGGAAGTGGGCCTCACTCATCGGGCTCTGTATGAACCTATGTATTGGGCCTATGAAATAAAAATAATAGGTCGGGACCGAATATGCCAACATGTGTTTTGCGACGGGATTGGTTGCAGACTTGCAGATGAAAAAAAACTTATGAAGCTTTGAAAGAAATGAGAACTTAGACTTAGGGCACTACTTGAGAAATTTGTTTGTCATACTGTTATTATCATGCCGGGTGAGAAGACCTGAGCATATATGCAGTGTTCTAAAAGGCATGAGGTGTGGCAAGTTGTCAACGCCGAGCAGTGTAATTTCCTCACCATTAGTCCTCATTGAATAACAGAACAATGAAACTGAAGTAGAAAATGGGAGCAATTAGTTTTATATCCAGACTCCCGGAGCATGACCCTATAAACCGGAGTAGAAAAATGGATTTGTAACCAATTTTGGATTTGGTGTTTCCAGTTCAATATTACTTTTAGTCTAGTTTCTAGATATATAAATATTTATTAACTATAACTAACTTGAAAATATGAGACTAAAGAAGTACGTAGTAATTATTATTATTTCTTGGAGTTGTGTACATCTAAAGAATAATAAAAGTTTGAAGCAAGAATTTTTTTATTATGAAGATTTTGCGGTGTTCATATTATATGCATATGTATTATATTTTCATAATATCTTAACTCAGTAGAGAGGGTTAGTGTATTAATGCAAAAGATTGACGAATCTGCATTTCATAACTTTGTATATGATATTTGGATATGCATTGTTGTGAAAATATATTATTTTGATCTTCATCTTCTAAACGAATTAGACACTGTCATTGTCTCTCAGACCTCACACTCATGTACCAAGGAATTCACCCTGACTCCCGATGCATATGCTAGTGTTTCAAGCAAAACTGACCAACCACGGAAAAACCACTAAATATAAGATTATATTTCAACACCTTATACATGAGTTTATTCCTCTTACGATGGGGGCCATTGAAAGACAAATATTGAAATGCAAGTGCTCTTCTCGAGTCTTGGACAGACCAATTTGTTGTTTGAGCTTAATTGACTCAAATGTAAAGTATGCATCCCATGTCAAAGAAATATGGCCAGTTTATACCTTAGATCCCACGTGCTCGAGCCAACTTGCTCACCAAATATTTCAGTAGGAAAAGAAAATTTTGATTAATCAAGAATGAGAGTTAGAGGCCCTATATGATGGTTTGGTTTGAGCTATAAAAGAAAACTTAACTAACTTATACAAGGAAATTAAGTACAAGGAAAAATAAATTAAAAGATCAGATAATGTTTTATAGTATTAATGCTGTTAATACTGTCATCTTAGAGAGATCAAATCACATACAAACCTGCCTATAGTGCTACCACCACAAAAATTCCCAAAAATAAAGATGGGGTAATTCAGTAACTTTCCGAAATTAAGATTAACATTACTGCATTTATTCAAGTCATCTTGAAGGTGTCACAAAGTTGCTAGTCACGTCAGCATCACTCTTGTTTTGCTAGGATTGAAGACATTCTTGTGAATTCAATACTTCACGAGATTGTTAACAGCAGGATGTGCAGGGAGAATCTCATCAACAAGGCTGCGCGGAGGAGGATCTCCTGTCGGGTCTTCAATTTTTATTGGAAGACCCCAGGAAGAAGTATCAAAGTCTGGAAAGCGTTTGCGAAGAGCATCATAGATCCGGCATTGAGCAGTTGACACTCCTTGCATGAACGACCGTACCACTTCCTCGGCAACAATATCTTTGCATCGTTTTGTATGTAAAAATGTATTTTCATGATCAACCAAGGCCTTTTGGTACTCCTCAGATTTCTTGTACTTCTCAAGATAATCAGTTAGGTCTTTCTTGTGCGCTTTGGACCCCTTATACTTTTCAAGGTAATTTGCCAGATCTTTCTTGTACTCTTCTGAATCCTTATGCAGCAAAAGGTGCTTATTTAAATCATTCTTGTAAGCATTAGAACTTTTATATCTCTCAAGATGATCAGCCAGTAATTTTTTGTGCAGACTGGAAGTTTTGTACCCTTCAAGGTGGTCAGCTAAAGCTTTCTTGTGCTCTCGGGAGCCCTTGTACTTCTCCAGATGATTTGCTAGCTCTTTCTTGTATTCTTCTGAGTTCTGATGCAGCACAAGATGGTTAGTCAAATCTTTCTTGTAATCCTCAGACCTTTTGTATCGCTCAAGATGATCACCCAGTACCTTTTTGTGATCTTCAGAATCTCTGTACTTTTCAAGGTGGTCAGCAAAGGCTTTCTTGTGCTCTTCTGAGCCCTTGTACTTTTCCAGATGATTGGCCAACTCTTTCTTATACTCTTCTGTATTCTTATACCGTAGAAGGCATTCAGTTAAGTATCTAGTCATATCTTTCTGGTAAACTTCAGACTTCTTGAATCCTTGAAGATGATCAGCCAATACCCTTTTGTGCACATCAGAAGCTTTGTACTCTTCAAGGTGATCAGCTAAGGCTTTCTTGTACTCTTGAGAGCCCTTGTACTTTTCTAGATGGTTTGCTAGCTCTTTCTTGTATTCTTCTGAATTCTTATGCAACAAAAGGTGCTTAGTCAAATCTTTCTTGTTATCCTCAGACTTTTTGTATGTCTCAAGATGATCAGCCAGTAACTTTTTGTGCTCATTGGAAGCTTTGTACTCCTGAATGTGGGTATCCAATATTTTTGTGTGCACATTAGAACATTTGTAGTTTTCCAGGTGATTAGCTAACTCTTTCTTGTATTCTTCTGAATTCTTATGCAGCACAAGATGGTTAGCCAAATCTTTCCGGTGTGCTTCAGACTTTTTGTATTTCTCAAGATAATCAGCCAATACTCTGTTGTGCTCATCAGAACACTTGTAGTTTTCCAGGTGATTGGCTAAGTCGTTCTTGTAATCTTCTGAATCCTTATGCATCAAAAGGTGCTTAGCCAATTCTTTCCTGTAATCTTCAGATTTTTTGTACCTCTTGAGATGATCAACCAGTGCCTTTTTGTGCTCATCGGAACGTTTGAACTCCTCCAAATGGACATCCAACTCTTTCTTAAACATTTTAGAAGCCCTCAACTCCTGGATGGCCTTATTGGTAAAGTCAGTCTTGATATCTGCAAATTCATTGGAGTCCAGAAAATCTTTTATAATCGACTTTCTGATTCTGTGAAGATCTCTTTGAATGATCTTCATTTGCAAGACTCGGGAAGTCAGAACATCAAACCTGTTCCTAGCAGCACTCAGATCATCACTTGCAGAAGTGTTGGCATAATTTTTCAATTCAAGGACACAACAAACACACTGCAAGACACGAGATTGAGGAGGACCAAGCCGATCAAAATTAAAAGAGAACTAAACTAAAACAAAAACAGTGGACAATAACAGTAACACTTTTACTAAGCAGTACATGACCATAATAGTAATTAAAAGTGATTGTATAGTAGCCATGGTGATGTTCTATTACTTCTATTATACAATGACTACAGAAATCATAGTCATCTTTTTGTTCTTAAATTTTATTTTAGAACAGGAAAAAACCTAGAGAAAAAACCTAGAGAAACCTATATAAAGTACCTTGAAGGCATATATCATCACAGATTCGCACAGTTTCTCTGAAAATACACTCTCCAGTATTTCCATATCAAACGGAGGATAAGCATCCTCTGACACTTCTTCAGTTTGGATGGTACCCTTTGTTAATGAAATGTTCTGTTCATTGTCCAAGTTCACTCGGGGCTTCTTTGTTACACACAAGGCAATAGGAGAAGAAGGTGAGTTTCTTTTGTTCTTTCCTTGGCATGGTGGACAGGCTGGTGAAGGCGGAAGGCTCTTTGAATTATTTACCAGGGAAGAGGCATCAGGCATCAACACAGGTTTGGGGATCCTGGAAGCTATTCCAGTGTGAGGATCAGAGGCTTGCTCAGGCTTCCCTTTATCAGGGCTGAGAATTTTCTTTAAACGGATAAGAAGGTCTGATGTGCTGAACATGTTCACATGACCTGCATAAAAAGGATGAATTTATCAATGTGTGTGTACATTAGTACATAAGAATTACAAAGTGAACAGATGGAATACTATCCAGTCCATAAAGAAATAACACGCATGATATTATGTTTTATTGGAAATAAAGGTCCTATTTGGTAGCTTCAATATGCTTATTCTGCTTAACACATTAAGCATGTCGGAAAATCAATTTTAACAATCTTTTATTTTAAATAATTAAATAGACTATCCTTTCAAATATACTCCGTAATTAAATGGACTCAACCATAAACCCAAATACCATGAGCCATATCACCCTTGCCAAATACAACCAAAATAATTGTTCCTATTTTTATTTCTGACAGAAATTACCACAATGCAACAAAACCTAAGGCCCGAGTTTGAATCAACAGATCACCTTACTCCATGTTCTCATGCTTAGTTGATGAGTAGAAACTATAAAACATATTCGGTCAAGACCACAAAATCGAGTTAACAGGGAACATATCCAAAAAAGGAATCTATCGAATTACTCCACTAACACAGGACATTTTTCGATTCAGATGATACCTGTGACTTTTTCGACCGGAAATGTTTCAGCATTTCCACTGGATTGCTTTCTTCTTTCTTCACTTTCTCCTTTAAAATTACAAGTAATTAGTCATAATGTAAACGACCGCAAAACAAATAAATAAAAAATGCGGGAAAATTGTTGCATTTATGTGGTGGTACACTGGTTCATCAATGCGCTCTTTACTCACCGCCATCATCGCTCTTTTGAGAGAGAGTTTTCGGGGTTTTAGGTTCCTGTTCAGCATCTCCATTACCGCGTTGCTTTATATAATAGGCCCGCATGTTCTTCGCGTACTCGGTCTTAAGTTTAGCAGCCTTGAGTAAGTAAGGAGCTTTATCGGCGGCGGACATATTCCTCCACTTTTCACCCCCGGCTTGAGAGGCTACTTTAGCTGATTCGTACGGACGCCGACCTGCCCGAGCTTTAAAACTCTTCCGGAAATCCACCATGAAAAGGAAGAAAGCACCTAGAGGCTTCTTCGGTTTGTTTGGATCCTTTCTGACCTTCATGGCCAAAACCGGTGAAAATCAGAATGGCCAGAGTAACTGGGCAAGGTACTATGCTCTGGGGGAAGACGAATAGATTCTTAAAAAAATACTCCGCATACGGTATTTATTACACCCAATAAAATTTTAATACGCAAAAACTAAATCAATAATCCCTCATCAACACATGGGAAAAAAAATTCCGCTGCCGGGATTCGAACCCGGATGCTAACTCAGCAATCGAGCTTGTCGAGCTTGTAGTTAGACTTTAATCCAGCAATCATGTTATTATTGCTACAGCGGAACTGTTGACACAACCGTGTTCAACTTTTGTTAGCCTAATACTTATATTATTAAGTTGTACGTAATTAAGTAAATTCCAAACTTTTCAGGATACATATACGGAGTATAAGTTCAAGAAACAATTACGCCGTGGAAAAATGAATAGAACATACACATACTGACATACTACCTCCCAATAACTCCCATTAACATTGGTAAAAAAATATATCAATCATTGATTAAAATTAATTGATTAAAATTAATTGCGGAAAATTATTTGAGATAACAAAAAAGAAAGGAAATAAAGTTATATAAAGACCGATTCAAAATGATTTAATTTCAGATTCTGCTCTTTAAACAATATGGAGTATTACTCTAGAGAAGTGATCCCCGGTGGTTTTTTTTTAATAAAATTTGAGCATGTTATTCATGAAGTGTAAATTACCTCCATAAAATTTTAGCTTAAAATACGATCGGAAAGTCAATCATACGTGAAATTGAAAAACAATTTGCTACAAAATGACTAGTTTGATTGTTTTTAACACTCAATTGACTTTTTATTAAAAACACAATGATCTATTTGATAGTTTATTTCCATCAACATCATCATCATCATCACCCCAGTGTCGCGAAGGCTCCCATCTATTTGATAGTTTTCCCTTCTAATTATAATATCAAAGTTTACTGTTACTGTTTTATTAAGATGTTATCACTTTTAATTTAACATAAAAGTGTCATACGCTTATCTATAAATCATATGTTTAAAATGTCTTGAAGTTTTTTTTGGGTATGCAATATGTACATTATAATTTTAATTAGTTTCATAATTTAGCTTTATTGTTTTTCAAATGGAATAAAGACACACATATTACCTATAAATTTGTGAAATACAAAAATGTGACTACTTTTCTTTTTTATCAAAAAATATAAATAATCTATTAATTAATTAATTCATCATTTTTTTCATTGTAATTTATACCAAATCTATGCCTCAACCCCCTCCCCCCCACACCTACCCGGTCAGCATGCAGCAGGATCCATCACTAGAAAGTAGAAACCACCGCCAGATGTTTGAAAAGGTGAGAATATTTCAAATGAATAAAATTATTTTTTAATTAATTTTTCTATTCCAACCATACATTTTCCAACTCCCATTATCCTATACGTTCTTTTACTTATAATTGCTATTAAATCTCATTTATTCCTAAACGTTTTCTTTTATTATTAGCCATTAATAGTATTTTGAAGATCAAATAAAGCCCAACGTATGAGCTGCTCATTAGCTTTATTCCATTTGTTTATTACTTGTATTATATATATACACTACACGAAGTACCCGTGCGATGCACGGGACCAGATACATCTAGATTAACATAATATCTTGTTAAGAATTATCTTTTATTATAATGAAAAGTATGTAATCTGTAATTTGATTAAATAAAAATGGTAAAAAGAATCAAATAAGCTCTTCTACTCAAAAAATCAGTTTTTAACCTGTAGAAATAGTTTTTTTATTTATTTTAAAAATTACAAAAACTGTTTAAATTTGAAGAAATATAGAAAAAAATGGGTAATATGCGTATATGCTACATTATTTGATAGGTTTTTACATTTTGTATTATTATATTTTTACATTACACTTCATTTTTAAGTTTTCAGTTTTTTATTTTTATTTTTTTAAATATAATTAAATTATTTATCAATTTTTACATGTATACTATTTTTTTCTAATATTTATCCATTATTTTTCAAATCTATATGACTTTTTATAAGATTTATCAATAGTGCTAATTTATTTTAAAAAATCTGCTATAGAGGTCAAAATTGCTTGATTGATGGTATTTTAAAAATTTAATGATGGATTTTCGGCGGACAAGAGGTCAAAACAACAGAAGAATGATACTTGTATTTGTTCTATGTGAAAAGTAAACAATTGGCATTGTAGCTGGATGGGTGTGGTAATGAGTGTAAGTAGTAGTGCGCGTGAATGACGCGGGTTTGACTCCGTGGATTTTCGGCGGACAAGTGGCAATTTTTGGCCAGAATATTGAATGGTACCGCCGGATTGAACATTTAAACGTAGTTGAGGTACTGTTTTGCTTCATTAAAGAGTTAAGGTACTAAAATGCAACATTACCGATAATTTTTTTTTGTATGAAACATTACCGATAGTTGAGGTACTGTTTATGCATTTTACTCATGCTCCATGCCTCCGTTGATGAGTAGAAACTCTAAAATGAAAGGGAATCTATCCAATGAGTCCCGTTCGAGTCAGGAAGGCCTGACCGGAAGCCCCGTGCGGCCTTCCCCTTTTGGGGGCCTTCCCGGTGGAATTTTTTGATGAATTTTTTTGAGCATGTTTCTCATCAAGTCTAGTTTATCCATACCAAATTTCAGCTCCAAATTCCACCGGGAAGACAGTCAAATAATTTCTTGAAACATAATGCACTTTATATATGCGCAGAATGCTCAGTATGTTTCAAGAAATTATTTGACTGCCTTCCCGGTCGAATTTGGAGCTGAAATTTGGTATGGATAAACTAGACTTGACGAGGAACATGCTCAAAAAATTTCATCAAAAAATTCCACCGAGAAGGCCCCAAAAGGGCTTCCGGTCAGGTCTTCCTGACTCGAACGGGACTCATATACTCTTTATCCAATTACTTCCTTGAGTAAATAAGGAGCTTTATCGGCGGCGGATATATTCCTCCACTCTTCACCTCCGACTCCGCGACTTGAGAGACTACTATAGATGGTTCCCATTTATCGGTTCAGATCATACCTGTAACTTTTTGTACTGGAGATGTTTCAGCATTTCCATGAAAAGGAAGAAAGCACCTGGAGGCCTCTTCGGTACGTTTCGATCCTTTCCAGCCTTCAAAAACCGGTGAAAATCAGAATGGCATTGCGGGCTAATGTACAGAGCCCCTGGGCAAGGCACTATATTCTGGGAAAAGACGAATAGCTCTATACTCCCTCATCACTAAATTGTAGGAAAAAAATCCATTGCCGGGATTCGAACCCGGATTTTAATGCAACACTCAAAGTCTATGGTTGGATTTTAAAGCACCATTCCAAATAATTGTTACTACAGCGGAACTCAAGAAGCAATTGTGAACGGTGTTTGTTAGTGTATATTTTCTTGAGTGTTAATATATATTTACATTTCATCCAAAAAAAAAAGTAGGTTAATTCCAAAAATTTCATGATATATGCGTAGTCTATTTATCTAATTATATGGAGTATAAATCTAATTATACTTCGTATATAGGAAATCATATATGTCCTCTCCAAATTCTCACCTTCATTATATAGATGTCATGTGGCAAATTCTATTATTTTGCCCTCGATAAGAATAATATTCTATGAGAAAAAGATCTGTCCATCCGGATGGACAGGATGCGCCGTCCGGCCTCCGCCGTTTGGGGTAGTTTCCGATGAAATTTTTTGATGAATTCTTTTGAACATTTTCTTCATCAAGTCTATTTTATTCATAAAGAATTACAGCTAAAAATTTGATCGGGAAGACAGTCAAATAATTTTTGGAAAATAACTCTGTTTTATAAGTATAATTCGGTGCAGTTATCTTCACAAATTTATTTGACTATCTTCCCGATCGAATGTTTAGCTGAATTTTTTTGTGGAAAAACAAGACTTGATGAGGAACATGCCAAACACTTTTCATCAAAAAATTCTACCGGGAACCGCCCCAAACGACGGCAGCCGGACGGCGCCTCCTGTCCCTCCGGCTGGACAAGATCATTTCTCATATTCTACGTAATACAAAACAACAACAAAGGAAGTTTCAATTGGTGGACCCAATGTTCAAAAAACAAGTTTCTTTAGTGTTATAACTTTGTCAACTTTGATCTAATTTTTATTATAAATATATCAAAAATCATAACTTTTACGTTATAGAGCGGACGGCCCCTAGAGCTCTTCTCGGGTTTTTTAGTTTTTTTTTTTTTGCTTGTAGTGGCCCTCATCTAGCGGACAGTCAGGTCGTTGGGTAGACAGATCGGCAAAGTTGAAACGCATCGAACATCTACAACGAGTTCTGGTACAGTCGCTTACACCTCCAAGGCGCAACATGGACGACAATCATAGTTGAGAAATTGAAGGTTTGGCTCATGCCTATTAAAGGATGGAGATGGAAGAAGAGCATGAAGTTTTACTAGTGGAAGCCAGGAACTCGAGCACAACAAGTAAAAAACTTTGGCTGATTGGAACCATAACCTCAGAAAAATTGGGAAGGGAATCGAGCGATGACTTTGAACTAGAACGAGTCTATGATGAGGACGGGGTTACGCTGCATTTGGAAAAGGCAGTAAGGGTGATCCGCCTTTCTCCTGAGCCTCCGCCATCGATTCCAAATCTAAAGGCACTCCAGAAGACAAAAAAAAAAACAAATTTTATTTATTTCCTTTCAGTTTTATTAAGTACTCTGTTTTACCGCAAGTACAAGACACATCGGCCTTTTTTCCTAAGCTTAGGCTTTGGAAAGTTTTTGTCATCACTTGTGCGGCGAGCATCATCGAAGCACCCAAGGGTCGCAGTCGTGGCGCCTTGGCTTGTCCAAAGCGTTGCAGTGGTGTGAAAGATGGATGGCGAGGCATTGGAGAAGTATAGAGAAGAGCGAGAGCATGAAGAGGAACCGGTGGATAGTCTAGCTAGCGGAAAATTAAAGTACATGGGGCTGGGCATCGATGGAGTTGAGGACGAACTGGTGCTCGAAGATGGAGAGGAGGGGGAAACGGCGGTAGGGGCAGCGAAGCCAGAGGAGTTCCCGATAGTTGGGACAATTCTCACGGACAAAGTGGTTCGTTTTCAGTTCTTCAAGGACCTCATGGCAGCTTT